AGTAAAAGGCCTCAAATTTGAAGTACAATCTTGGATGTCTTTTTCTATCAATTCTTCAATAGGTAGATCTTGTCTTTCATAAAGGCCGAGGTCAGGGATCTTGGGCCTAATAAGGTTGGTGACCACTGATTTAAACCATTATCATGCAGGCCAGACAGACAGACAGATAGATAGAATGATAGATAAATTCTCACAGCAGAGATGCAGTTCTTCATCTGAATTATCCCCGCAGTCATTATCTCCGTCACATATCCAGTGCTGCTGCACACACACGTGGTTCTTGCACTCAAACAGGAAGGGTGGACAGTAGGTGCTGTTCGGGTAGCGTGTGGCTGAAATATGCACACATACAGCTCAAAGTCAAGATAAACATAAATGGGAGGTGACTAGCATTGCATTCAACATTCAGTGACTTTGCCATTGCTAGTGCTGTGCTATACTATTTGAACTACATGAACGCTGCTCAAAATGATCCTGAGCAATTTATCGGTTTACATTTTTTATTTAAAATAAATGTTTGTCTTCATAATCCTTAATCAAAATGGAGTTTTCCAGGACAAGATGTTCCCTTAAGTTTCCATGCCAGTGGATGCACAACACTTTTGGACTCTAGAGGGTGCTGCAATATAACTCACAGCTATCTTCTGGTTACATTTCAGAAGCATCTCAGAATTTAAATAGATAAAAAAAACAAAAAAAACATGGCACACTCACGACAGGAGCTTTCATCAGTGAAGTCGAGACAGTCAGCATTGCCGTCACATTTGAAGCGCTCAGCGATGCAGTGGCCGCTACCGCACTGGAAGTAACCCGGGTGACAGGTCCGCAGCTCTGAAACACATTCATCCACAAAGAATGAAGCCAATCTCTTTCAATACGCCACGGAGAATGAATTATGCACACTTCCTGTAAGTCATTCACAAGGTATCCAGGCACACAATTGCATTGAGATATCACCCACTGAGGACCAATCTGTAATAAAAAGACAGTATTATGATGTTGAACATGGTGGCAAGTGCCACGGCTCTCTCCATCCCTCTTTTGATGGCCTTTCCTTTCTGCTGTCTCTCTTTTTCTTTCACTCACCGCAGTCTCTCTCGTCAGAATTGTCCTCGCAGTCGTTGTCATGGTCACAAACCCAGCGGTCAGGAATGCAGTGCAGGTTGTCACAGCGGTACTCGCTCTCTGTGCACGGACGAGGGGCTGCGGATGCATAAGAAGCGTGTCAATCAGACACGCATGAACATACATACAAAGCAAATAAAGCAATAAGCCCAAAGAGGCTGTGACACTGTGATTTCACCACAAGTGAGGGGTGTTAGTTCCATAACAATGAAAATTTGCTGAAAATTCACCCACACTCAGGCCATTCAAGATTGTTTCTTCATCAGAACAGATTTGGAGAAATGTAGCATTCCATCACTTGCTCACCAATGGATCCTCTGCAGTGAATGGGTGCCGTCAGAATGAGAGTCCAAACAGATGATAAAAACATCACAATAATCCAAACCACTCCAGTCCATCAGTTAATGTCTTGTGAAGTGTTTTTAAAGAAAAAAATTCATCATTAAGAGGTTTTTAACTTTAAACGGTTGCTTCTGATCAAAATGAGTCCATAATCCATAATAACGCTTCCTCCAGTGAAAAAGTCCAACCCCTGTTGCCCTCTCACATCAAAATCCACCGTTCTGGACTGTTCTCGCTTGTAAACGGTGCTTGATCTGTGCATATTTTTCTTCTGACTCAGACAAGATGGCTTTTATACTGAAAGAGCCAATATTACGGATAGAGGACTCATATTTTTAGCAGGAAGCAACGGTTTGAAGTTAAAAATGTCTTAATGATGGATTTGTTTATTATAACAACACAGTTTTTCTCTTCACACGACATTAACTGATGGACTGGAGTGGTGTGGATTACTTGTGGATTATTGTGATGTTTTTATCAGCTGTTTGGACTCTCATTCTGACGGCACCCATTCACTGCAGAGGATCCATTGGTGAGCAAGTGATGCAATGCTACATTTCTCCGAATCTGTTCTGATGAAGAAACAAACTCATCTACATCTTGGATATTCAGAGAGATTAAGATTACATTTTCAGTCAATTTTAATTTTTGGGTGAACTATTCCCAAAAGAATGTAACTCGATCTGCACCATTTGTGTTGTTCAGACATGTATTTAAAAAATACATTTAAAATGTATGTAAAAAAAAATATATATATTTTTTTTTAAGAAAACTCTAGGATTGTAGTAAAGCAATCCCCGTTAGATCCATAAGGATTTCCAGAAGTTACAGAGTTACAAACAGTTCCGTATGTGCCTTGTGGGTGTTTTTGATGGGAGTAGTCTTAATCCCAAAAGCCGTGATAATTTACCCTTATTATGTGCCAAATTCATGTGACATT